GAGGGAGAAAAGATAAGGTTAATGAATTCGGGCGATCTAACCGCCGAAGCCGTAGAGCGTGCGGCCCTGGCGCTTGAGCGCGTAGACCACGTCCATGGCCGTGACCGTCTTGCGCTTGGCGTGCTCCGTGTAGGTGACGGCGTCCCGGATCACGTTCTCCAGGAAGACCTTGAGCACCCCGCGGGTCTCCTCGTAGATGAGCCCGGAGATGCGCTTGACGCCGCCGCGCCGCGCCAGGCGCCGGATGGCGGGCTTGGTGATGCCCTGGATGTTGTCGCGCAGCACCTTGCGGTGGCGCTTGGCGCCGCCCTTGCCGAGCCCCTTCCCGCCTTTGCCGCGACCAGACATGACTGAGAGAGAGCGACACTGACACTGCTTTACCCGGGGCCTCGCTGCCGCTCCTTATATAGCACTCGTCCCTCCGTTACAGGAAACCGGACGGGAAGGGGGCGGGGAAACGCTCTCCGCTCCTGACTCTTTCCTGTTTTCTCCGCGTGGTCCATGGTCGCTGTTTTCTGTGCCTTCTAGTTTTGTGCCTGTGCGTTGTCGCCAGTGATTGGTACTGTACCAGTATCTTGCGCACTGTCACTGTTTATAAAAAGGAGTCAGTCACGCTACACTTGTCTGCAAAAGGGAGAGACATCAAGATAAAATAAATTTAAAAATGTGAAGACTCTTATAAAAACATGAGTATTAATTCGAACGTTCCCGTTTGCAGAGCATAATAAACATCGTTTCCAACGTTCCTAACAGTGAGCTTTAGGAAGGGGAGCCGATGCTAATTAAGTTTCCACTTCTTTTGCCCCCAAATTTATAAAGCACAACTTGCTCTGCAAAAAGGAAGAAGGTCCGGCGTGGAGGGTCGTGTTCTAGCAAGTGGCATTGTAGGGTCGGAACCGAGGTCCTCCGTCGCTGCACTCATGAGCGGGCAACCGACCAGTGATCCACGCTGGAAAAGAATTGAAGCTGCCTCGTAGTGATTGAAAGTTTGCAAATTTACAAAATTAACAACAACAATAACCACACTAATAAACCCCGTGAAATGCTGTCCAAGTCAAGAGTAACCGAAGTGATGTTCTACACGCAGGTGACAAGTCCATGTGACTCGCAGACAGATGCCAACATTTTCCCACATTCCACGTGGTCTCACTGTCTTCTATGTGCTAACTCCAGAGGCAATTAAAGCTCCTTCTCTGCCAGTGCTTGTCATCGAGGCAGTGAGAAGGTCAATCGCTTCCTCTAGTAAGAGACTTAGACACAGTGATCTCTCACGCTCTCCTTTTTGAGAAAGTCATCAAAGAAGAATCACCGATTTATTGATAGATTGATTCATACATTCACTCAATGATTTTGGATCTACAAATGCAAAGTATGGTGTACAAAAGCAGGTTTACAAAGATAATCACACAAGTTCTTTGAAAGAGCTCAAAGTCGAGTGGAGGGAAGAGAAAAGTAAGCTCGGGGTGGGGTCTGCCGTGAGCTCACCTGCTCCCAGTGTCTGACTGGTAACAATGGGCAGGGATGGGTGGGAGCAGCTGTTTCCCTCAGCATTAGGGTCACGTGGGAGCTTGTTACACTTACAAGGTTTAGGCCCGACCCCACATCTGCTGAATTTATTCTGCATTTTTAACAAAGTTCTCCAGGTGAGGCACATTTGTAGGCACATTTATGTTCGCAGAGAGTTGTTTTAAATCTGTGCTGTCCTATATCAGCCACTAGCCACATGTGCTTATTTAAAGTGAAATTAAACTTAAATGCGATTAAAAAGTAATTAGGTACTGGCTTTCTATCGAGAGTACAGAAATAGGGTGTTAGAGGAAACGTAACACCCAAGTACTTTTCTTGTTCGTTTATTTTAACGAACACGAGGTATGATTTCAGCTTCCAATTAATCGGTGGATAGTATTAATTTTATGCTTATTCAGTATTTACTGAACTCCATTAGCTCTGTCGTGTTGCAAACTAATGGGGACAGAGTAGCAAGTCCATCGAGCTTCCGGCCTGTGAATTTAGGCCTAGTTCGAATTGTTTTTTTTTGTAATCCTCTGCATCCCTACTTGCAATGTTAAAAAAAGAAGTGAAATCAAATTTGTGTTTTAGAAATCCTTTTGGAATTTGCCTCAAATTCTGTGCTAAATATTGGAGGAATAAAATCTGTGGATAGAGTGTCTGTCATTAAGTAATTTACAATTTTAAGGCGATGGATTGTAAACATGGGATTGTGCGGGGCTCCTCAGATCATAGTTGGCAAATCCATGGGGAGCTGCTGTCCTACTGCTTCGTGACTCACTTTTTCTTCTTTGTAGACAGGCTGGATGATCGCCAATGCCCATTCTAGGTCTGAAAAACCAATCACACTACTTTTTTAAAAGAAGGCAGATGACTAGTTAGAACTGGTATCTAGAAGACAGCAGCTCAGCTTCGCCCCGCCCTTGCTAAAATGTTTATTGCTCCTCAACACCTGGATCGCAGGACTCACTGGCCACCTAAAGACTTTTTTAAAAAATCCGTCTTTTAAAAAATAGTTGTCTATCCTGTAGGCGGAATCTTCCACGCCAGTGCAATTCCCAGGGCTCAGTGCAGACTACTTGCTGGGGAGCTGTGCTATTGCTCTCGCGAAAAAAAACAATTTTTCTCGTGTATTTGCGTAAAAACGAGTTTATTAACATAAAGTTGCAAAGAAAAGACTGTGTAGAACTATGACCTGGAAGAAAGATTAGCCAAGGAAACAGAGAGAAATGGCATTTTTAAGCAAAATCTGAAAGTTGTCTCCGTTAGAACGAAGTTTTAAAGAGAGTTGGGGGAATCGGGGAAGTTTCAGGGTGGCGGCGTTGAGAGCAGGTAGAGCAAAGAAGGTAGGAATGAAGCCCGAAGACTCTTGGATCCATTTTCCCCAAATCCCCAATTATTTCGTGCCCAGATTTCTTATATTTTTCTTCTTTTTTAAGGGGCAAGAAACACAGCTGCGCGGCGGGGCGGAGGCGCCTGGGTGCAGCGCGGCGCTCGCGGCCGGCAGCCAATCACCACGCAGCGACTCGTATATAAACCCCCGCCGCCCGCGCCGCGCCACGCCGCTCTGACAGCTGAAGTCTCTTTTTGTCTTTCTTGGCAAAACAGAAAAATGTCGGAGACCGCTCCAGTTGCTCCTGCGACTCCCGCACCTGTGGAGAAGACACCTGTTAAGAAGAAGCCGAAGAAAACGGGGTTATCTGCGGGGAAGCGCAAGGCGTCCGGGCCGCCGGTGTCCGAGCTCATCACCAAGGCCGTGGCCGCCTCCAAGGAGCGCAGCGGCGTGTCGCTGGCCGCGCTCAAGAAGGCGCTGGCGGCCGCCGGCTACGACGTGGAGAAGAACAACAGCCGCATCAAGCTGGGCCTCAAGAGCCTGGTGAGCAAGGGCACCCTGGTGCAGACCAAGGGCACCGGCGCCTCGGGCTCGTTCAAGCTCAACAAGAAGGCGGCCCCCGGCGAGGCCAAGCCCAAGGCCAAGAAGGCGGGCGCGGCCAAGCCCAAGAAGGCTGCCGGCGCGGCCAAGAAGCCCAAGAAGGCGGCGGGCTCGGCCACCCCCAAGAAGGGCGCCAAGAAGACCCCGAAGAAGGCGAAGAAGCCGGCGGCGGCCGCCGTGGCCAAGAAGGTGGCCAAGAGTCCGAAGAAGGCGAAGGCCGCCAAGCCCAAGAAAGCGGCCAAGAGTCCGGCCAAGGCCAAAGCCCCTAAGCCCAAGGCGGCCAAGGCCAAATCGCCCAAACCGAAGGCTACGAAGGCAAAGCGGTCGGCGCCTAAGAAGTAAAGTTTCGGCGGCCGGTCCTGCTTTGACAATCGCAAAGGCTCTTTTCAGAGCCACCCACTAATTTCAGGAAAAAGAGCTTAACCGGCATTGTGTTAAAAGTTTACTCACTCTAGTGCGGGGGTGTTTTGGGCAGATGCACAGTTGGGTTTGCAGAATCCCTACATGATCTTTTTCAGTCCTTAAATTGGTGGCTCTGAAAAGAGCCTCGTGTCTTCTGGTGCAGGGGTAGGTTAGGGGTCTAAACTTATTTGCCCTTAGCCTTGTGGCTCTCGGTCTTCTTGGGCAGCAGCACGGCCTGGATGTTGGGCAGCACGCCGCCCTGCGCGATCGTGACCTTGCCCAGCAGCTTGTTGAGCTCCTCGTCGTTGCGGATGGCCAGCTGCAGGTGGCGCGGGATGATGCGCGTCTTCTTGTTGTCGCGCGCCGCGTTGCCCGCCAGCTCCAGGATCTCGGCCGGCAGGTACTCCAGCACGGCCGCCAGGTACACGGGCGCGCCGGCGCCCACCCGCTCGGCGTAGTTGCCCTTGCGCAGCAGGCGGTGCACGCGGCCCACGGGGAACTGCAGCCCGGCCCGCGACGAGCGCGTCTTGGCCTTGGCGCGCGCCTTGCCGCCCTGCTTCCCACGACCGGACATTTTAGAAAAAGTGCAGTTCTCCTAGGCGAGCCAATCTGAGGAAAGGGTAATTATAGCCCCTGGATGTCGCCCGACTTCCCTTTCCTATTGGTTCGCAGAGGTCACTGAGAGCTAATCAGATCGCACCCCTGGATTCACGTGCACGGGCTTCAGAGGGAAAGTACCAATTAGAGAGTGAGATATTAAATCTTGTATATTGTGACGTAGATGAAAAGCTGTTTTTTTTCCCCCCTGGGGGTCAGTGGAGTTCCCTCTGGGGGAGTAACGCTTCTGCCGCCAATTATGCCGCCACCCTGAGGCCGAGGACACTGACCTGTAAACCGCTCTGGCGGCTCCTAAGCGGCCCTGTGTTCTATTCGTTCCCCACAGACTTTGAGCGGACCCAGGGCGCTGTTTATTCTTGTGAACTGGCGGGAATAGGGAGGAGAAACAAAAGAAAAGAGAAACGTTTGGGAGGGCAGCGTGGTGGGACCCGGACCCCTGGAGTTGTGGGAAAATGGGCTCTAAGGTCGGGGTCGCCTTCCTGTTCTGCCATTTGCCCTGCATCGCCCGGACTGGGGGTTTGTTTTCATTTCAGAGAAGCCCACTTGATTTTATCGACAAGTCTAGATGAAGGCCTGAGTTTGCAGAGCATTATGAGCTGTAAACCTGGATGGGAAAATGCTTTTCTTTCCCTCACAAATTCTAATGCTATTTAGTATTCCCTGCAGTTGTGGGCGCAGGCAGCTAATCACAGTGGATTTTGCAGTACATGTGACTTTTAACCAGGGGAATCAGACGTTCCCCTAGCAGTTTGAAATTATTGAGAACGTCTTGCAATTTTACGCTCATTCTGAGTCTTTGAAACTGATATTGGTTATTCCACTCGCTACTCCTCGTTATTCGAGATGTTAATAATGAAACATGCTACACATACTGAAATACGCTTTGATGTATTTTAATATTGCTATATTTCTTATCTTGTATGCTTTAAGCATTTTAAAACATCATTTGAAAAGATGTCTACCGTTCCTTCCAGACTATCCAGAGTCCAGAGCACAAAATAGTGAGGAGGCCCCGAAACCACCTCCGAGGGCCCAGAATACCTGCGGCGGAAACGCCTCTTCACCTTATTCTTTGTTTACAGCTCCCCCTGGTGGATAAAAATTTGTTACTTTTTGCTATTGAAACTTGAAGTGTGTAGCCTGTAGCCTGTGGGTACCTTCCTAGCTGTCCTGAGCAAAAATTCAATTTCTTTTCCCCATTCACAGCTGCATCTCATTCTTTCCCCTTCTTTTAAGGAAATGGCTCGGTTGAGAAGGCAGATCTGGATGCTTGGTGGAATGCGAAGTAGTTAACTCAGAAGATTCTTTGGAAAGAGGACAGTGCATTGAGCAGTAGAGAGAAGAGCTGTTAGGTCTTTAATGTCCAGAGTGAGTGAGGCTTTGCTGGAGGAGTGAGGAGTGAGAGAATTATGTGGGAATGTGACATTCGATGAGAGCGAAAAACGACCACATCTCTGCAGCCCTCACAACGATGAAGCACGTCTACGACTGCCGTTTGCATTAGGTGGTGTTAAAATGCTCCTTAGACAGTTAAGAAAACTGTGACTTGGAAAGATGAACCGATTAGAATCTCCTTACTGGTGCTTGACCAGAAATTCCAAATTGGCTGATTAAAATTATATTTCTAGGAGCAGCAGAAACCATAATTAGATCAGGTATAAAATCTAGGTTTGCTATCTTGGGCTTTTAGCACAAATGACACCATTTAGGGCCTGGTTTGTTTGTTTGTTTTTTTCCACTTAACATTATACTCTTATGATGGACCCAGCACACTGTCCTAAAGACCATGGATTAACTGAGCCAAGGACTCCATCAGAAATTTGAGATTACAAATACCAAGTTTTGAAACTCAACTTACTTTGAGGTAGGGGTTACAGTGTCTCCAAAATAATGTACCAATGTAAATGAACCGAATCCCAGCCAAATACATATGTCATCACTAGAACATCCAGAAGGAAGCGAGAAACGGCTGTGGATATGAAAAAAAAAATCTCATTGACTTGTTAAGCCAGCCATAGAACCCTAACCAATACAAAGTGGCACCTGCTAAAAATTGGTATACTGTTTTTTACATTGTTAATTTGAAGTAGAGTTCCTTGAACCCAGTTTCCCCTAATGGTGACACTTCCCCTAATTGTGAACCCAGTTTCCCCTAATGGTGACATCCCACATCATTATATCATCCAATCGGCATTGGCAAAAGACTGTCGATTATATTACAGACCTCATTCAGTTCTCACCAGTCTTTATATGCTCTCGCTGCGTGTCCGTGTGCGAGGATAGTCCTATATATGATCTCATCCTGTTTACAGATTCAGGCGACTACCATGGCAACGCCCATATGAAATCTTCCATCATCACCAAGAACTCCTCATGTACCCAGTCTGGTCACGTGCACTCACCTCTGCCCTGTCCTGGGGCAGTTGCTAACTTGTGATCCATCTCTGGCTTTGTCATTTTGAGAATGCTACATAAATGGAATAAATACGATATGTAACCTTGGAGACTGCCCCGCCCCCCATTATGTCCTTGAGATCCAGCCAGGTTGTTACAAGTATCAATAGCCTCCCTTTTATTGCTGAGTTTGTGGTCTCGCGTCAGTGCTAAAGCGCTAAATTGTTGCCTCTTTCAGGCCATGACAAATCAAGCTGTTAAGAACTTCCCAGGACAAGAGTTATTTCTTTCTTCCCCCACCCCACTGCAAGTTTGGATTTGTTTCTCTTTGTAAGTCTTGCCTTCCACTTCATTGCATGTGTGTGTGTGTATTTTTGTAAAGATGCATAAGTGCTGTGAGGACTGGGAGCCGGAGGATCGTTTCATTTGTCACAAACAAATGACATAGTGCTGCTACTGTCACTGGCAAGTTCGCTTCAAGGTTCGAAATCGCTGAGTGAACTGTCCCTGGTGTTTGTGAATCTGACCTCTGGCTTCTGTAGCTGCGGATTCGCTGCAGCAGAGTGTGCAGTTGCTGAATAAGCGGCCGGGAAGGGCGGGCGGTGCGGGGACCTGGGTTTCCCTTCCCAGCAGAGCTCGTCATTAGTCGGAGTCTCCAATATTCACCAGTCCCGGGGCCGGGAGCTCCCATCGCTGGCGTAGGCCGGAGCTGGCTGAACCCAGAACCTGTAGTGCCCAGGGCGTCTCAGGACTTGGCCTTCTGTGGGGGAGAGTGGTCAGCTGTTGTCACAATGGATCTGGAGGATTTCAAGCAAATGGGATTATTTACTTTGATCTGTGCAAGGCCCGAGTTCTGCCTTCTTAACAAGTTTCTCACTCAGGGTGCAGATAGAATCTGCAACAAGTTTCTCACTCAGGATGCAGATAGAATCTGCAGTGAGTTTCAGGTTTTTTGATGCAGTGAGCTCTGACTTGCTGCATGCTGATTTTTTTTAAAAAATCTAGTGGATTTTAATATTCTCTTTAAGCGTTTGTTTTTCATTCAATAGAAAAAAGAATATTGGAATAAATATATATTCTATTAATATATTGGCCAATTTTGGCTCATTCAGAGTTTAGATTTGTGTGTGTTTGCCTATAGTGGCCCGGGCAGCTGGCCAAGTATACCATGTCTGAGGGCACCAAGGCCATCACCAAGTACACCAGTGCCACGTGAGTTTCTGTGCAGCCACCTCTTAACCCAAGGGCTCTTTTCAGAGCCAGTCACTTTTGCATTCATATTGAATTTTTAAAAACGTGTTTTTTTCTTTTGTCAGACAATCTTCTTCAAAACATAAGTACAGTATGAGTGGTTCATTTCGAACTTTTGTTACTTGGTGCCGCCAAGAATTTGAAATAATTGTGTACTGTAGGAACTATTGTGCTATGGCCCACATGGTTTTTAATATTGTGATTTTTGCATTTTAATCAAAATCCTTTAATCTTCCTAAAATTGTCCACTCGTTTAGATTTTAAAATAATTTTATCGTGGTACTTGTACTTGAGTCCTTTGTTTTACATATAATGCCTACGGCATGGTACAATATGATTCTACGAGCTTCACAAATGTTAACTCACACTGTGAGAAATAGTTACGTGTGTTTTTATAAAGGACCCGAAGGCTCATCGTGTTAGTTACACAGCCTGGGGGAGTTACTGAACCCCAGAGTGTACTCTCTTTACTGGATTACTGTAGATGAAATGGTAATTCTTAAAATTTACATAAAAAGATCTTTTCATCACCCATTTCATTTTGCCTTGGGGCTGTTCCTGACATAAGCAACGGTACTGCATGGTGCTAAGCAGTAGTTAAACCATAATTTTGTCCGTTTTTCTCTTGTATTTCATTTTTGTATTCCCTACCTGCAGTAAGTGGTTCTATATTCACTAAGACAGAAAACAAGAATGAAACGAAATAAAAAACAGGAACCAGAGATCTAGAAGTGCGAGGAGCCAGAGGGTGTGGATGGGAAAGTCGACAGGTTCCCTGTGTTGGTGTTTTTAGAGTCGACGATTTGTTTCTGTACTAAAGCTAAAATGACTTAGATAAATTGCATTTGAGTACATGTCATGGCATAAAGACTTGCTCTCCGGCGAGCCAGCAAGGCATTCCCCGTGTGATCCCTGAGACCTTCTGGAGAACACCGGCCATGCCGATTGACGCAGTGGCAGCGATGGAATTCTGGAAGGCGGAATCCATCTTGGTGGCACTCTGGTGGGCCTGCGCGCAGGGAAGGGCCTGGGGATTTGTGTAGGAAATGCATACATGCATTCATGTCATAGCTTTCCTGTGACTCCAAGCTGATCTGACACTGACAGGTAGGCCATGGTCTTCTGTTAGACATGAACTACTTCACAGGACACAGAACACGTAAGTGGTGAGACTAGATGAGGTCACCAGGAACCCAGGAGGGGCCCAAGAACTGAGCCGAGGAAGTCCAGAGAGGACAGTCTGGAGTGGAGTCTCCCTGTTCTTTAGCGGGGCTCTGTAGTGTCCCATTAGATACGGGCTGTCTGCGCCCCTCCGCCCCAAAGCTT